TTTGAAAAAAAATGATGCATTAAAATTTTAATTATCATTATCAAGACACTTATATAAAATATTTAGGAAAAATATAATCTTTAGTTCCTATATTTTTATCAAGTTTTGCTTTTAGTTCCTGTAGTTTTTTCTTCAATATTTTCAATTCTTATAAAAACTAAAAATACTAAAAAATTGGGACTTGAAAAACAAATGTCACATAATCTTTTTGAAATTATAGGAATTGTAAACGCTGAAAAAACTACATGGATTAAAAGTGAAACCTGATAAAACTATAGAGACTAAAGTTTATTCCTCTGATCTTATTTATAAGTCACTTTCAACATGTTTCACCGATATCAAGAAAAACTTTAGACCTTTTTGATTCTGTCTTAAAATTGAATAAATTTTTAACTTTGCATCTATTAAATATACATATTTCAATAATATATTTTCTCTCTCCAATATTCAATGAAAAGTAAAAGAGGCATTTTGTGATGAAAATTTAATGACGTGACTTATAAATAGAACCCAAAAAATCTTTCTCTTTCTACCCCATAAATAAGACTAGAGGGAGTGTTTTTTCAAATGTTTAATGCAGGTATAATTGAAAAAAAATGTACTTCCTCCATCCCTTTGTTTTTAATCAAATTTTATATATCAATAAAAGCTTGTTATTGAGATGAAATCACATTAAATCACAATAATTTTTAATTTTATCTTTAATAATGTTAATTAATATTATAGTGGTGGTAGGTAAAGCACCTAATTAATACTTTTTTTTTCAAGACAATAATAAAATTGTCTAGTTACTCAAAAATATCATAACACTTTTTATATTTAAGAAAATAAATTTTTAAAAAATACTTTTTATATAACAATGAACAGAATAATTTTTTTTAAAATCAAGTTTTAACTAATATTTTTTAAAAAATATAAATTAATTATTAATGTTGTATATTATGATTTGAAGTGAGTACAACTTAGTTGGCATTATCTCAAAACCCCACAAGCATAACAAAACTGATGGAGAGAAGGGGACCGTGTGGGGCTGCATCAGTCACAGAGAATATATGAACAATAATGAAGTGGGCCCCACTAACAAAGTTGAGAAGAGTTAATGAATGCAATTATATGCATCATTATTCCACGTCTCCATCTCCCACTTGAATATCCTCTATTTCCCTCCTGCTAGTAATTTTCTAAAGCCCCTTGGTTAATTTTCTATGCATGCCTGCCATATTATGCATATACTCTTATTTCCTTAAAAAAAAGAAAAAATTACTGTTTTGAAAACCGGACCGGACCAGCCGGTCGGACCGGTCGGATCATCGACCGGTCTGATTCAAAGGAAAAAATCATTTTAAAAGCTGAGCCGGTTTGAGCTGTTTCGAACCGGAGGTCGGATCAGGAACCGGATTCGGTTTTCAAAAATCGGACTGTTCATTTTTTTTTTATTTTTTATCAAATTTTTAAAAAAATGACTAATTTTTTTAATCATTTAATATTATATTGTATCATATCGCTTGTTAAGTCGTGATAAACTTAAAATATTTAATTTTTTAAGTTAAATAGCAATTTCATATGTATTTCTTATATTTAAATTATTATATACATATATAATTTTTTTAATTTAATTATTACGTCACTGGTTGGACCATTAGTCCAATTGGTTGAACCATGCGAACCGTGAACTGCTGACTTTTCCAGTTCAATATTTGGTCCGGTTCTGAAAACATTGAAAAAAACACATTCCTTCCATGATACACACTCAAGTCAATTTTGTTCAAAATATTATCAGACACTAAATATAAATACATTTTTTAATAAAAATTTAAACATTAATTTATTATATTGTGAGAAACTATTCTATTTTAATAAATTTAATCCCATTGGCAAGAGGACGCTGAACTTGTTTGGAAGGAGGTGGTCCTAAGGCGGCTGATTCGGAAATTGTCCATTATCCAATTACATCAATGAACGTTGGGCCATCCTTTGGGTTCTATTATTGGGCACTCTCCAAATCCAATGAATAAATCTGACTCTAATCAATTCTCACATATTTGGGTCCCCACCACTTGTGTTGCTGCCACATGGGCTGTCACGCTGCTCATATTCTGAGGCCCACCCTTCGGGATCATCATTTGTTTCTCTTGTTTTCTTCCTCGGAATTTTCACTGGACCACACTCGAAACTAACCAGAATCCGTGGAATACCAACAAATAATAATAATAATAAATATTGCATTTCCTATAATTGTTATTTTTATTTAAAAAATTTTCAGTTTATATCTTCGCCTCTACTTCATTGTTGGAGCTATTATAGTATGGTTAGTGTTTGTAGGCCCGTTCATGTGGACGTAATACCGAATTCAAGTACCGAACTGTATTTTTGGTTAAACTTTTAAGGTATGACTCGGACATGGTTAATTTCATGTACCCACCTTAAATAGCAAAACTAGCTCATCCAATTCATCCCTCGAATACTCATCTAAGCCTTCACTCTCCCCCACCCCGTACTCTTGTTTTCTTTTTTCAGTATGCAAGAGTCTACTCTAAGCAATTAGGTTGAGTTTCAGGGACACATTGCAACAGTCAAGAACTCAAAAAACACACTCACAAAGACACTACTATATTATCCATTAACAAAGTTCTTAGGTTAACAATAGAACAATAGAGTATGGAATTCGTCCTTGTGAGTTAGACAAGCATTTATTGCCCTCCCACACTTTGATTAACTAGCGTTAACCCCGTGCATTGAAGACAAATTCCTATTGACCGGTAGGATTTGATAATAACGTTTATCAAATAAAGTAAAATCGATTAAGGATGTAATAGTTGGCGAATTTGAGTTGAAAACAAGACATGCATTTGACAAAGTGATCGATGGAAAAATTAGAAGCCAAATGGAGCCCCAAGTAGATTGGGTCAAGGACATTGATGGTTTTTTTAGTCAACCTAATGGTGCGCTTGTGGTAACTTCATCTGTGAAGACCGAAAGAATGAGAGATTAAAGGCTTGTTTGTTTTCTGTTTTTAAAAATTATTTTTTATTTTTGAAAATAAAAAATTTTAAAAATTTGTTTGGATAAGTGTTTTTCATTTAATTATTTCTAAAACTGTTTTTAATTTTTTTAAAAAACAAAAAAATAGAAATTACTTTAAGTTGTTTTCGTTTTACTTTTCATGTTTTTAAAATACATTACATTTAATTATTAAAAATTATAGCTGTTTTAATCAATTTTTATTATTTATAACCATCATTATCATTTCATTTTTTTAATTCTAAAATTATTTTTTAATTGATATAACCAAACATATTTTTATTTTATTTTGTTTTAAAAATTGAATTACCAAATAATTTTTCAAATCAAAAAATGAGAATAAAAACCAAACAGGCTCTAACGGATTTTTTAAATATCTTAACTACTATTTTAGTATAGTCACGCACATTTTTTGATATTTTAAAAGGTTTCAACTTTTATTGGAGTGCTAAGGTTATTAAAGTTAACATCTAATTACAATTTTGACTTCTTTTAAACACGTGTTGAAACAAATTAAACATATCAATCTGCTTGTTCACTTGATATCAAGCGGCAATTTAGACATAACAATCTTTAATTAGCTGCCCCTTGCACAATTTTTCCCCGCGTCATTGTATTTTTTTTTTTTAAAAGACATATGTATATGATCCAAAACCAACATCATCTCCAACGAAATTTCCGACAGAGTTAATTGTACGCGTGTATAGCAAGAGGATAAAGAGTTTCTCACACACGTCAGTATTACTTATAATTAGTGTAATTAAGTTACTATTGTGGCGTGCGAACTCAATCAATGATATGATAGATAGATAATGCTTGTATATTACGTAATGCGACAATTCGATCTTATAGATATGAAAGTAGCTAGAAGAAGTTGAATATGTGAAAAGAATTGACAATAATCAAATAGCAAGGGGCCGCGATCGAGTTGCTTTCAGACACGGATCACAAAACAGAACAGTTTGATCATCACTTAAAAAAAAAAATGTGTAGCCTAAACTAATCATACATACCGTTTACAGACCGACAACAAATATCCGACTCACGACACTTGTCTCTGAGTCCGTCTCCGAATTAGCAGGTTTCTTACGTGAGCACACACGTACTCCATTCGAAATCATCATCATTATCAGAAACATTTCCACATAGAATAATCGCTTTTTACTCCTAAATCAAGATAGATTTGCCCATGTTTCACGCCAGACCCGTTCAAACTAACTCGTAAGTTAGTGTAATTTGACGAAGCCTTCACATTCACATATGTAAGATTGCGAAGAGAGAGATGGATAGAGGCCAGGTGGTGTGATGGTGATGGTTAAAATTGATGATGAAAGCGATTATAAGGGGGGAGGCAGAATAGTAGTTTCCGGGAAAGTATGCTCTTTTCCCGGAAAGTCACTCTCACGATATTTATTGGTCCACCCCATTACCAGTCATGTATGGGAATTTCATTATTCGTGAATCAAACAATCATAAGGATGGAAACTTGGAGGTGGGAAAGGGTCGTGGGTTTGGCAATCATGGTAACGTGGCAGCGACGTATAGGGTGGGGCAGGAAGGAATCTGGGCAGTTGAATTTGGGTTTGAGGGCAGGAACTGGGATGCAAGGAAAGTGGGAATTAATGAATATTGATAATATTAGATGTTGAGATTGCTAGTCGGACTCAGGCCTGGAAGCAAAATCCTATGTTGAGATATCCGCAGGGAGACCCATTGGGGCATCACGTGGAGGAGGGCCCCACCAGTCCCCTCAAAGCCTAAGCATCTCACGAGACCACACCATTTCGATTCAAATCTCTCTCTCTCTTGAAGCAACTGATTTCCAGACACAAACACGTGACCTAACTTCCCTATCCGCACCCCTCCACCTTTCTCCAACTCAATCATCACCTCCAACTGATCCCCATCATTTTCTCCCTTTCCATTTCTCATTGTTCATCGCCCATTTGCTAACAATAACATACGGATATAACAGAAAATTCACGATGAAAAATTATGGTAATTCACTAATATAAACCAGTTATATATAAACAATACAAATATAAGAAGGAAGGGGAAAAAATTACAGTAAAAGGGATCGGATGGGCAGTTACTATTTTCTACAGTTTTAGTTAATTACAGTGTTTCTCTAGACGTACTCCTCAACCAAAAAAATACAATGGTTGTGGGTAAATTCTCCTCCTCCTCCTCCTTGTTTTCTTCTTTTTTTTCTCCTGTTTTGGTTTGTTTGTGCCATCCCAGAAAATCGAGGCTTCAACATGCTGCTGAAGGATTGGTGAAGGGGTTGTACAGGTGAGGAGGCGCCTTGGGAGTGATGGAGAATGGGGTCTTATTGGAGCCACCGTCCCCGACGCCGCCCAGCCTCTCGCAAGACGGGCACATGGTGAGCGTCGCAGCCGGCATCGGCACGTACAGTGGCTGAGATATCTTCAGTGCCTTCAGCTCTTGCAGCTCCTTCTGGAGCCTCCTGTTCTCATCCGTCAGCGTCTCGCAACATTTCTTCAAAAACTCGCAGTCCACCTCCGTTTGCTTCAGCTTTGTTCTGCAATCATCGAGATATTCTCCGACCTTTAAAAAGAATTCCGGATCGATACAAATATTTACGATTGAAAAGTCGTATTGCATATACGTGTTAGGCGAAGTATATATAATTTTGGAGTATTTTCCAGACCTAGATAGTTACTTTGCTATCAAAACACTGATTTCTTAATTATTCAAGTTTAGTTTCCAATAGTGGAAATTATAATCTGTTACCTGGCTCTTCGATTCTGGAACCACACTTCAACCTGGCGAGGCCGTAGATTTAACTGCCTGGCCAAGGCTTGCTTTTGCTTCTGTGAATTGAAATCAATTAAAGATATTAACTCAAGTCAGTAAAAGAAAGACTGTGAAAACCAATAAGCAAATCAATAAACAATATTGATGGAGAAAGAAGGAGGTAGCTAGAGATAGATAAAGATGATGATTACAGGGTTGAGGGTGCTGTGCTGCTTGAAGCTTTCCTCGAGGAGAGCAGATTGTTCTTTGGTGAGCCTGAGCTTCTTCCTGGCATTAGTGCCGTCTTCATCTTCGTCGCTGACTCTGGAAGAAAGCCTCTCAGCCTCAGCGTCCTCGCAGCTGAGATCCCTCTCCCTCTTGACTCTCCCACCAGAGAAGGACGAAACAGCACTGTGAGGCGAAGAAGTCTGCCGAGACAAGTGATCGAGAGGAGTTTCTTCACAAGCTTTGATTTTCACATCAATCTTCTTAGGCATGACAAAAGTATCGCTCGAGAGGGCCAGCGTCAAAGACGGCTCAGAGATAGCAGCGGCAACAGGGAAATTAGAGGAAGATTTCTTAGGAGCAGCAACACTCAAACCAAGCCCTAGAACAAGCTCGAGGTCTGAGGAAGTAGAATCATCAGCGGGAAGACCCATGAGGATGGAAGAGGAGAAGGGTTTTTTTTTTGGGGGGGGGGGAGGAAGAGTTAGATGGGAAGGGTTAAAGTCATGAGAGGGAAGGAGTCTTAAGAAGAAGAGATGAGGAAGGAGAAGAAGAGAATGACTGAGACTTATGTGGGGGCGTTGGGTGGGTGGGTATGATTATTATTAATCAAAGCGAGGAATGAGTAGAGAAACGAATCTGCTTGGTATTTCAACTTATTATGATATATAGTCCTCTCTCTCTCTATCTCTCTGCCCCTCTTACATAGGTTGACCAATCCAGCCCCACTGGTGTGTTTCTCTTCCATTCTTAATAAATAATTAATACCACCATACCAACAAGGAAAAAGAAAAAACAAATCCCTCTCTCTCTCTTGCACTGAACTTGCCTTTTGCCACCCACAAGCTTGCCAAATATAACTATTATTATTGTGATTATCAAGCAACATGTTGCTTCCTTGCGTATGCAGTAGCTTCACTTTATTTATGTACCAATTATCAGTCCCCAGTCCATTAATTAGTTTATACATAGTCTTGCTCTACCCTTCTGAGTACGTACCACCTTTTCTGTTCTTTTTGCCTCCGTCTTTCTGTTCATTTTCTCGTCTTCGTTGTTGTTTTAATTACATTACTTAAACACACATTGTTAACATATATAGATCCCATGCACATGATTCTCAACCCATCCAAAGATTGCTCACTGCTACTCCTCCGAAGATTTTTACACCCCTCCTACGCATTCGAGATCTGAATTGTTCCCAGTTATATATGATACTATAAAGTAAATATGATAGGTTTAGATTGGATGACTATATTTAATACAGGCACCAAGTGTTTATACCATCTAAATTATTAAAATCTAGATTAATTATGAATTCACATTTCAATTGAGATTAATGAATGAGTAAATTTATCTAAATTATTAATCTGAATTTTAACAGTTCAAATAATACAAGCACTTAATACCTGCACTAAATACAGTCACCGAACTCAAATCTTGATAAACAACATCATATGTCCTAGATTAATTTTTTTAACATATATGGCTTATTTTAATAGATTTATCATGTACTATATGATTAAACCTACTAATTATATACAAGTTAAATATTACTCATTCAAGAGTTATTAACTGCTTAATGAATCAATATTTTGAGTTATTACCTAATGAAACGATTTTTGAGAACACTTAATAATATTTTATAATAAGAAAAGAACATGATGTTTCTATATTTATTTATAATAGTATCGCTCTTATTTTAAGGAAGGATACGAGAATAATAATTTTATGAAATAACGGTCAAGATATACAAAATTAAATATAATTTATTAATATAATTTTAATTTTATTATGAATAATTTGTTCTCTCATCTCTCACCTTATACCAAGTTTTTGCTTTAATTTTTTTTTTCATTATATTGCTTGGTATATTGGAAAACCTAGGAATATTACTAGTCACTTCTTGTTCAAATTAACCTGAACCCTTGATGTATGATATTGTTATTACCAATGACAACTTTATGAGTTTCTCGAAGGATGTCTTTCACGTATTTATTTAATATAATTGACTACATATCTCAGGACTTTAACTCAAGATCTTAGAATATAAGTTGATTCAACTCTGCCGACCTGTTGAATCAATCATGTCTTGGTTGCCTTAAATCTTAATTGTGCGTGTGTGTATGTGAGTGTATATATATATATATATATATATCTTCATGTATAATTTTAGGTAAGCATATATATATATATATAGATGTGGAAGAGAGAAACATGAAGTGTCCCCCACTAGGCATGGCTGGTTGAACTAGTTTGAGAAGGATCGGTACCATCTCACATTGCTTGTTAATGCCAAGAGCGAGGTTGCTTACTTTTTGATGAATGAGGAATATAAATGGACTCTGGTTGGAGGGTGTTTTCCTCTTGCTTATTATGAGTGTGGAGATCAGAAAGGGATGTGCACTACATAGATATATTTGTTTGCATCTATGAGAAGAAAAGAAATTAAAATAAAAATTAAAAAAGAAAGAAAAGTAGTAGGTGCGATGATGGAGCTAGCAGATACAATTGGGAGTTTCAACGAGTTATAATGGTGCCAGAATATGATTCATCCACAAGAATCCGGATATTTGCTTAACTATAAAGTTGATGGCAAATTGTTTATTATTGGGTCCTACTTCCTTTGTATTTAGTACTATAAGCACTTTCAATAATGCTTTGTCGGCGATGCTAATTAACCACGAGTTAGGTCACCTACATTCCTCTCTTTTCTTAATTAATCATCATTACACCTTAATCAACTTCTTCAAATATTGCGGAATTTGTGTTCATTCTCCTCAGCCCCTTTTCACCGAATTCAGCTGGTACTGAGAGAGAGACAGGTATTTTGAGATAGTGCATGTATATGAGTAACGTATATTTATCCTAAAATCATTTTCAAAGAATCAGTCGTGTAATCTAGAAAAATATTTGTGAAACGAGGCAGTGCACAATCTTTCAAAATTGCTTAGAGATATCTTTCTATTAGAGGCAGAGTGAGACAGTAAATGTGAACACATATTTTTCAGCAAGAATTCAAACATTGATTCTCCAAATTATAAGGGACTAGCCCATTCGACTATATCTAATCCCTGTTAGCTGTATTCTTTTAACATGTTAAGTAAATGTTGAGTTAATAAAATTCTCTCAAACTTGTATTAATGATAGACTTAATTAATATTGACAGTTAAAATGTTACTTCCTCTATCTAAAATTATAAGATCTTTTAGGAGAAATTTAGCATCCTAAAACACAAAACACTTAAAAAAAGACTTTATTACTAATGTTTTTTTAATATTACTCTTCTCATTAGTATTCTTTCAAAAATGGAGTATTAAATGAAAAACTTTTTTGAAAGTTTATATTTTTTAAAAAATAAAAAATATAAAATGTATTTAACAGTGATTAAAAAACCAAATCGGACGATCGGACCAATCTAGATTTCGGATTAGTCAACATATAAAAACCACTCTAGGGGTTGAGTAAGGTTGGAGCAATTTGGATTGGCAGTTAGATCAGGAATCATGATCAAGTTGGGAACTGGGCCCAGTTTTCAAAAATTGGACTGTTCAAAAAATTTCTTTTTTATCATTTTTTTTACAAATAATCAATTGTTTTGATCATTTGATATTATGTTTTGTGTGGCTTGTTAAATCATTATGAATTTTTATCAATTTTTTTTACAAATGATCAATTTTTTTGATCATTTGATATTATATTTTGTGTGGCTTGTTAAATCATGATGAACTTAAAATATTTAATTTTATTTTTAAGTTAAGTAGAAATTTCATATTTATTTTTTATATTTAGATTATTATATACATATATAATTTTTTTATTTAATTATTACATCACCAATTTGACAATTGGTCTAACCCAATTGAACTATGCATGCTAACCATGAACTGCTAACCTTTTTAATTTAATATCTGATCTAGTTTTGAAAACATTAGTATTTAATAAACTTTTATTTAAAACTTTCTTATAAATTGGGACGGAGGGAGTTTAGACTACTCCATAATTTTTAAAAATATATAAGGAATGATATAATTTTTTTGAAAAATATAATATAATTTTATGGAAATTAATATGATGATTACTTTTTTTAAAAAAAAAGTTGTAGTGTAATTAGTTTCCATGCATTTAATATTTTTAAGGAATTAAACCCTTCCACGTCGAGGTATTATTTTGGTCTAAATTTTTGATTTGAACTAAGAGAAATTCAAATTCTAAATACAATTATTTTCAAAAAGATACTAGACTGAATTTCACATTAGAGTGAGTGAACACCTTAATCCACATGTACACCTTTTTTTTTTTTCCTTTTTGGTGAACCCGCACATGTGTCCTTAATTAATTAACACCACCTCTCCTAGCTATTTCTTATTTTTGTTAAATGCCAACTGTCAAATCAATTTTTTATATATTCTTTTTCCTATGTTTGTATGCATATTTATGTGCAGGCTTATTTAGGATATGTCTTTTCTTCACTATTGAAGTTCAACTTTTCACAAGGACCATAAATTTATCAGTAATTAATGTTTAATATTGAAGAAATTGGGGGTAGGAAATTTGTTATTTACATCCAATCCAATCTAATCAGTCAAGCAGACACACGATGGGACATAAACCCACGCATATTTTGATTAATACGATACATAATTATGAACACACAAAAGTGGCCTGATTGCAAATGATTATCTTGAAATTTATCATGCAAAATCCTTAATCTTGTTTGTGATCACAATCAATGCTTTGCAAACTTTCATATAGTTGTCAAGGTACGCATTAAAATTTTGGTGCATATCATCTGGACATTTTATCATGTATCAGTATATGCATAACACACAATCGTTTTTAAATAAAATTTTAAAAAAATTTATCAATAATATTAAATATATAATTTAGTTGCTAATAATAAGACTTATTTTGTCTCATAAATTTTCACAAAAGTATATTTATTTATAAATAAATGCAATCATCCTTTTTTTTTTAATTTCATCTCTTCTTACAAGTATTTCAAAAATACTATTTTTATATATTTTACGGTTCAAAATTGATTGAGATGGTAAGTTAAATTGATATGACTCCTTCAACCAATCACATCTCTTAAAATTTAAGAAACTTTTGATTTTAGTGTGGAATGAGAATAATATTTGAAAGGAACTCCAGCCCCCCAAAAAAAGAAAAGAAAAGAAAACTGCCGTGGAAAAATGTAGAGTATGCGGTAGGAGTTTTGACTTTTGACTCAAATAAGTTATTTACAAATGGTGAATTATTACGATAAGGGTGACTATTTATGACGTTAGGGGTTATTTTATATTTAAGAAAAGTGAAATAATAAAAATGAAAATGAAGGGCTGTCAAACGTGTCCGTCGATGGAGTGTTTGCCTCCTAACAGGAATCCCATTTATTAAAATAATATTAATCATTTGATGATGCAATGACTAAGATCTACCAAATTTATTAATATTTTAAGAAGTCGATTATGCTCAGCTTTTTGTCGAGTAGTGTCTGAATAAAAGGGCGTATGATATGAA